CTAGGAAGCGGAGAGCCCCACAAATGTAGGCAGGTAGGAGGCGCAGGGATGACGGACAGAGATATACCTGACCGCTGGACTGTTTATTGCGGGTGCGTTGGTAGGCCACCAGGATATCGCTGATTACAGTTGAAAGCGCTTCGCGTGAATTGGACAAACCGGCGGTGAGGGTACGCTCCACGGCCATTTTGGTGATGAGACAGGCAATGGCTGTCTGATCGCTGTAGTTGAAGATAGCCTCAGGCGACTCGGTGACTGGTAGACAGAGAGTGTGCACCCGGATGCGACGGTCACCAAAGGCCGAGGTGTAGAGCAGAGCGGCCTAGCAATAAAGAAAAAACCTCATTAGCGGTATTCTGACATCAGCAGCTGTATTTTTGCAATTAAATACTTCAGTGGCGAAAATGATCATCAATGTGTCTTAGGCAGTCAACAGAGGGTAAGAAATAGGCCCTAAAAGTGAATCATGAAGTAACCGAATTTTATGATTTTTAATAACCTAATTCACGGAAGAGTTCGGCCTGTTGTCCTAAATGACAATATTTCTGCAAAAAGTGACCTGCATTGGCCACAGCTCCGTTTTCAAACCGAGGAAAGTACAGATAGACAAAAAGTTTCAATCACTCGAGAATGTCGATCGGTAGAGAAAATCGGCGGCCGATGAAGAGGAGAAAGTAGGTTGAGAATTATGCTACTTAAAAAGCTACACGGAAGAAGAAATTTATGTAGCTTGAAAAAAATGAATTTGGAATAAGGGGAGGTCAACCAGAGAACAACAGGTACTAAGCATTACGACATCCCGAATGAGATTGAAGCAAGGCGTGTGCAGGGTTGCATACAAATCCAGTCGTACATCATTCCTAAGCGTCGTTGTCTTTGGTTCGAAAGTTGTGGACTTGGCTACACGCACAACTGTATTTTCACACGAAAGCTTCGCAAAACCCACCGCGAGATGACAATGATAGCTTGATAAGATACGGAATAGGAAGATCCCCCTCCCCTCTATTCCCGTAATACAGGGGCATTGCGCTAAATTTCAGAAAAGGTTAATATTGCCGTACCGTAACCCTAACCAAATCTTAAATCTAATCTCTTTGGAAGTGACAACAAATTCACCTGTACTAGGCGGGTTCCTAGTGCCGTGTTATACCGGCAGCTTCAAGGGTACACGTTCCTCCGAATTTTGCGGGCGGACCCCGCCTAAATTAGTAGGGCAGACTGGGCAGATGAAGCGAAATTTTGCACGAGGGACAGCCAACAATTGAACCTGGATGAGTGGTAGGAGTATATGGTCCCGAATGTACGGTTTTATGGTGGGCAAAATCTAAGAGGGGATCAATTTAAGACAGACGCTCACACTAAAAAAATACTACTCATGAGACCAAAGAACCGATAAGGGCTAGTGTTTGAGCTAAAATGCCCCTGCCGCGCAAACAAGGAGCACGAATGCAGAAAAACTATGTAGGCAGTGACTACTTCTCGTATATGCTTGAGACAGAGGATGAAAAGACTCTTCGGTCAATGCTAGCACGTTACTGCATATGAAATAACGTGCAACTGCGTTCCATGACAATCATACTGTAAGTTGACTTAGGAATTCCTTATTTCTGAAAGCCTAGTAAAAAAAAGGTCGGCCAATGTTTAGTGTGTTTTGACGCCGATCACGGGATGCGTAGAATCAGGCAATGGAGAAGCCTGTAGCCGAGTAAATAGACCAATGTGCAGTGTTAGCAAAGGTGGCTGGGCGATGACCTTCAGACACACTTAGGGCATCTATGAACCTCACGCGACATCTCCGTTTTCAAGACTTCCGTTCAGCCAGTACTTCTAGACGGTTTTGAATGCTTGGCCGGGAACGTGCAAGATAAACAATAAATAAACATTTTTGATCACTCCTGGCTGAGAATCATACTTTGAGCTAAGTGCAATGACTCGCTGCAACAGCATTCACAGAATATCTCAAGCCGCCCATAGAAGGTAAGTTGGATGGTTAGGCCGTAGTCTTTACCACCCACCTTATGAGCTCAGTGCTGCTGTCTTTTATCTGGCGTCGTTTCTCGCCTGGAGACGTTTAAAACCAGGTTAAGTTGGAATCTGGCTAAATGCAATTAGCCGAGACATTATGGTAGTACTCCACTGCTCCTAATTCGGCCTCCGTTGCTGGAGGAAAGCATCCAGGTTTCCACTTCTGTAGCCACAGATTTTCAGGTACAAATCGCGACATTGAGGCACGATCGCATCGCTGTATCAATTAAGTACATAATCA